ATCAAGGAATCCAGGGTGCTCAGTACCAAAGTGGACCAAATGTAAAATTATTAATGGTAGAAAATAATCCAGGCACTCCAACGAATTCCAAAGTGTAGGCAATTTTATTGGAACCAGGAAATGCACAGCAACGTTTCAACCCCTTAGGGTCTTTGTCAAGCTACTGAAGCACATACAAGATACACAATATATAGGTGAATATAATCATTAAATAAGTGAATAAACATGTGATACAATGATTGATTCCTCCCATCATCAATTAACAATAATAAAAAACATATGAACAAAACATAATTGTCTCTCCAATACTCATCTCACATATTAGGGATGTCAAGAAGCATAGATAAACACAGCCAATAAAATCTAAGTTTATTAGTGATTAAGTTCAATTACTTAATAGTGAACAAGATGTGTCTATTAATTTTTAAATGAATATAATGATTTAAATTCAATTGGAAACACCAGAGGACGTTAGGTACTTACACTTCTGGGTACAGTCACATGAATTGAATTGTGACCATCTCCAGCCAACGAAGCACCACTACTGATGCCAATCACATGATCTGATGAAAACGAATTAGGGATTATGCTAGTTTACAGTGAACGAATAATCTAAATTTTATTAAAGACAGGAGGTGAATATTTGCTTATCTTTCTTTACTGTAACTCCCAGCAGCAAAGAAATAGTTAACAATGTTGTAAAAAAATTCAACCAATCATAACACATCATAGAACAATATAGTGCCACCAGACTCCTCCCACGTCCTCTTTCTTGGTGGTGCCGATAAGTAGTAGAATCAACCCTGTAAACTGGAAACATTCCGAGGCTTTAACTCATAGTGAAGTCAACCATGTAAACGTGTAGTCGAGTAGAATAAGCTGAAATTTTCACACTAGAAGAGAAGAAAAGAAACTTCTTGAAAGTATGGTCTCTTGAACAAGAGAAAAAGCATAAATACGCATTCTAAAATGATAGCTCAGATTATCTGGTGGGATTTAAAAAACATAACGGTACAATGTGATGTAGGATTTTATCTTACTAGGCTAACAAATCGTATACCTACAAATCAAATTGCAAGAGAGTGTACAATGCAATAACCTTAGAACAAGAGACTTACCCTGAGGGTGGGTTCCAGAGTGAATGAAGGGAGGGAAAATATTCGCCTCCTGTCTTTAATAAAATTTAGATTATTCGTTCGCTGTAAACTAGAATAATCCCTAATTTTATGGCAAGACAGGAGGCTTCATATTTGCTGTTTTAACGCTCTTGAATAAAGGAACAAGCCGCATGTGGTGTTGGTTTAAAATAAAAAGTGCGAAAGGTAGATTCCCTTGACCAATCTGCGGAGGATAAAATATCCGCCAGCGAGCTGCCTGTGCGAAAAGCAGAGGATGCGGCCGCTCCCCTAACAGAGTGAGCTCCGAATGATCTATCAATTCCTGCTTGGGTAAGCAACCATCTTATCCAGCGTGCAATGGTAGGGGAAGAGACCGGTTTGTGAGGTCTAACGTAAGAGACAAAAAGAGGTCCGGTAGAGGGACGTAGAGAGAGTGTTCTCAATGTTACAACGGGTACACAGGGCTACACAGAGCGACAGTCTGTCGGGAAAGTATGGATAAAAGACTGAAGAGGAATTCGTCTTAGTGCGTCTAGTAATGGTAAATCTGACACCGTCTGGTGCAAAGGTCACAGCGTGAGAGTCAAAGGCTTGAACGTCTGAAACTCTGCGGAAGGACACCAGACACAGTAGCAGGGCCAATTTCGCAGAGAGTTGGCGTGGGGATAAGGCCTCGTTAGGTGGCCAGGAATCCAACAGTGTGAATTCCTGAGAAATATCCCAGAACTTAGAGTATTTGGCAGAAGGTGGCCTTGTCAAACGAATGCCCCGTAAAAGTCTGCACACGGAAGAGTGTTTCCCAACCAAGGAATTATCAGTAGTGTCATGGGCTGCCGAAATGGCGGAGCGAAAAATATTAATCGATCGGTAAGATTTACCCTGATCGAAGAGAGATGATAAGAAATTTAAAATGGGTGAAAGAGGTGTTGAAACGGGATCGAGGTCCCTCTCCAGACACCAGCTAACCCAACTCCACCATGTGAAGAGGTAGGTTCGTCTGGTTCCTGGAGCCCATGATTCCCAGAGGAGTGTTTGAGCTGTGCGTGAAAGACCCGCAACATGCAAAGCTCCCCTGAAACTGTCCAAGCTACCAGTTGAAGATGGCCCTGTAGGGCGAGAGGATGGTAATCGCCCACTGGGTTCCTGAGTACCCGAAAGGAACAAGGTAGAAGGCTATTTGATAGTTCCAGGAGGGTGGGGAACCAGGTCTGAGCCCTCCATAGTGGGGTGATTATTACTATCCTGACCTCTTGCTCTTTGACCCGGTGAAGGGTCCGTTGAATCATCGAGAAGGGAGGGGAAGCATAGGCTCCCTCCTGTGGCCAAGGTTGTAGAAAAGCATCGACTGCCAGAGATAGAGGGTGTAGTAGCCAGCTGAAGAAATCGTCTGTCTGACGATTCAGACGTGATGCAAAGAGGTCGAGTGTGAGGGGTCCCCGTAGGAGATGGATGTGGTGGAACAGGAGAGGGTCTAATTGCCAGTCGCTGGCATCTCTCCAATGACGCGAAAACCAGTCCGCGACTAGGTTGTCGGACCCTGGGAGGTATTCTGCTCGGATGGACAGATTCCTGTCCAGGCAGAATTGGTACAGGTCCTTGGTGAGATCGGACAGAAATTTGGATTTGTATCCTCCGAGTCGTTTTACATACCGCACCACAGAGACGTTGTCTATCCGTAGTACCAGGGAGCAGTTGGAGGCATCCTTGGCAAAGCTGCGGATTGCGAAGGATCCAGCAATGACCTCAAGGCAATTTATCTGGGGCGCCTGTTCCGATGGGGACCAAATACCCCCTGTGGAGGTTTGGGAACACGTAGTACCCCAACCCAAGAGGCTTGCATCGGATTCCAGAATAAAATCTGGTTGAGATCCGAAGATCGCTTTCCCATTCCAGGCTTCCATGCTGCGAAGCCACCAGTGAAGTTCGATGATAACTTCGTCTGTCAAAGATATGAATTGATCGTAAGAGGTTGAGCAATGTAAGTAGGATGTTTTCAACCGTTGCATTGCTCTGTAGTGTAAAGGCCCGGGAAATATAGCTTGGATAGATGCAGACAGGAGTCCAAGGATGTGTGCAAGGTTGCGGAGCCGAGGTCGCTGTGAAAAAAGTACTTTTTGGATTTCTTTCTTTATGTTTTTTATTTTGGGGTAAGGCAATTCCAAAGTTGCCTGAACTGAGTCTATTTGAAAGCCCAGAAACTGTACTACCTGAGATTGTTCTAGATCTGATTTCTGGAAATTTATGACAAACCCAAGGTTTTGAAGGAGGGCAGAGGTCATGTGCGTGTGTTTGCGAAGCAAATGTTGGTCTTGGGCCATGATCAGGATATCATCCAGATACATGATGGAACATATTCCCTGAGAGCGGAGTAGTGCCATGACCGGTTTCATTAATTTGGTGAAACACCAAGGGGCTGAGCAAAGTCCAAAAGGAAGGCAGGTGAACTGCCAAATTTTGCCTTGCCAGAGGAATTGAAGGAATGCACGATGACTTGGTGCGATTGGGACCGTAAGGTAAGCATCCTTGAGGTCGAATCTGGAGAACCAGTCTCCCACGCAGAGTAGGTCCCTGAGAAGATGGATACCTTCCATCTTGAAATGACAGTATGTGATAAATTGATTCAGTTCTTTGAGGTTGATAATAGGACGGTGGTCTCCCGTCTTTTTCCGTACCAGAAACATGTTGCTGAGGAAAGTGTAAGGGAAAGGCGAAGGTTCGATCGCCCCTTTGTCTAGTAATTTGTGCAACTCTGAGTCTAAGGTTAGTTTGTCTGTTTTTGACATCTCTAAAGGTGTCGGAAGGAAGCTTTGAATGGGGTGTATGAGAAAATCTATTTTGAAACCCCTGACTGTATGGAGGATCCAGTGATCCTGAGAAAGTAGTTTCCACTGTTGGAAAAAAAGGGTTAAACGACCTGCAATTGACACATTTAAAAAATAAGTAAGGTCCATTACCTGAAGCAGTGCGTCCGCGCAGGGATGCAGAACTACGTCCTTGAATAGAGCCTCTGGAGCTGAAGAGCTGTCTGTGGTAGGGTCGCGTGGGTCCTGAGGACCAACAGTCTGTGGGTCGAGGCCTGTAGCCTGCAAAGGCTGCTCTACTGATAGCTCGGCCCCTCAAGCGACCAGCTCTCCCGGAAAAACGTTGAGTTTGGAAGCGGAAGACCATGCGTAGTGAGGACAGGGCTTTAATAGGCGTGGTAAATACTGAGACATGCTTAGAGAGGTCTCGCATAAAGCTGTCACCGAATAGTAGACCATCTGCTTCTGGTCGCAATTCCTTAGAGCTTAAGTCTACCAATTTGGCATCAATTTTATAAAGTGATGCTTTTCGTCTTTCTATTGAAATTGCCACGTTGGCATTGCCCAATAGGCATAGAGCTCTCTGAGCCCATTCTCTTATAGTGTGTGGATCGAATTCACCGCTAGTGAGTGCCTCATCTGCCAGGATAAAAATCTAGATTATAGGACCTGAAATGTCCAGAAGCTTGTCTTGGGCTGCTTTCAACCCTTGCTCAATACCCTTACGAGGGTCTTTGCCGGATTTAGTTAAAAAGGTGACAAGCATGGGGTCGAACTCAGGAGTAGAGGCAACTTTGCCTGGAATAGTAGGTCTTGGGCATTCAGCCCTCAGTTTATTTCTAAGTTCTTTCTCAAGGGGCTTGCGAAGCCACATATTGCAGTAGTTGGCAATGTGATCAGGAGGGGCCCATTCTGCAGATCGTGGGTGACGAATCACCCTTGGATCAAAAAAAGGAAGGCCTGAAGCATCCAGGAGGGTGTCTGAGGCAGGCTCTTTAGATGGAGGGGCACCCTTAGCATCCTGAACATGAAAAGTTTCCTTAACAAACTTTGATGTTGAGGAATCCTGGGGCACGTTCACCGTAGGATCCTCATCAGAGTAGGTGGTGTCATAGTCGTTTAAGATATCACCAGCTAGTTGGGAGGTAGAGCCCTCAAGAGGGTCTGTCGGATTCTGCATAATGAACGGTTTGGAATGTTTGAGAATTTTTGCAGGAGCTTTGCCTTTGCCTGCAGTAGCGCTATTCCCTTTCCAGGGTCTTTTGTGCGGGGCACTTTCTTGGTCTGAAAGGTGGGAATCCTCTGAGTCAGAGGGTTGGTGTATAGAGGGGTGAACCTCTGTAGTAGATTGCTCATGATAAGCTGCCAGAGCCTTGAGAATGGACTCCGCAATAGTGGCGAACAGCCAATCCCGAAGTTCTGCAGAGATTGCAGGGTCTTGGTGTTCCGACATAATGTTTATTAGGGAAATGACAATGGAGGCAGATTAAAACTACAGGTAGTTGTAGTAAAATTATAGGGCAGGGTTGGCAAATGAAGAGATGAGGCAACTCAACTAGAAAATTAGAAAAGTGGGGGTCACCCACATGAATTGAGAAACAGTGGGTGTCACCTACAATTATGAGGCACAATCAAAAACAAAAAGGGGGTCACCCTTTAACAAATGGTGAACAGCAATCTAGTATGAATATATAGTATATATGTAGATATATGAAAAGTCAGTGAGGTGGAGTTACCCACAATGGTGATAAGCACCAATATAATACAGAAATTTATGTAGAACTAAAGTGGGGGTCACCCACAAATAAACAAAAGTAGTGTCAGCCACAGAAAATATTATAGGCAGTAGTTATGGTGAGGCTATGTAGAAATAAAGTGGGGATCACCCACAAAATAAGCAGAGTGGTGTCAGCCACATAAATATTAATGACAATAGTTATGATGGGGGTCACCCACAGAAGAAAGAAGGTGGTGTCAGCCACACAACAATTTTTAATACAGATAATTTATACAGTGGAGTATAAATATGGAATATAAAAGGGGGGGGATCACCCAAACAGTGTAGCAGGCAGGACTTGGCTGTCAGCAAAGATCTGAAAGGAGAAAGAAATTATGATCAGTATTCTGATCTGCTTAGTGGCAAGACTGTAAAGTATGGGCCAAATAATAATTAACTTACCTTCCTGTAGAGGATTGAAGTAGTGCCCACAGAGTAAAAAATCCTATCAGGGGCCGCGGGTGAAAGACGCGAGTACCGCGATTAGAGAAAATGGCTGCCGCGAGTAAAAGGGGCCGGCGCGGTCATTAGGCGGGAAGCGAGTGACGAAAAGGGCGCAAAGGCTGAGCAGGAGAAAACGGTCCCCTGGGTTTAAATGGAGTCCGTATACAGATTCTCCTGACGGGAGGGGGGGAGGGAAGGGGGAGCCCGGCGGGCTGTGTCAGTGTGCGGCTGAAACCCTGACAATTAAAGGTGTAAGCACCTAAATGATGAAAAAATAAAGAAGGAAAACCTGATAGGTGAAATAAAAAAACGAAAAAAAATTTTAAAAAGGTTCCTAAAGGAAATTACCCTGTAGGATAGCTGAAACTGTTATTAGAGCTATCTCAGGATAGGATTAGCAGATAAAAAATCATCAAATAAGCTAAGACAATTTTAAATTTTAAAGAATGAGGTTAGGCAACGTAATTAGAGTAGACTCACCTGGGAGGCAAGCAGCAAAGAAAGAGGAAGTGGGAGGAGTCTGGTGGCACTATATTGTTCTATGATGTGTGATGATTGGTTGAATTTTTTACAACTATTTCTTTGCTGCTGGGAGTTACAGTAAAGAAAGATAAGCAAATATTCGCCTCCTGTCTTTAATAAAATTTAGATTATTCGTTCACTGTAAGCTAGAATAATCCCTAATTTGTTTTCATCAGATCATGTGATTGGCATCAGTAGTGGTGCTTCGTTGGCTGGAGATGGTCACATGATTCAATTCATGTGACTGTACCCAGAAGTGTAAGTACCTAACGTCCTCTGGTGTTTCCAATTGAATTTAAATCATTATATTCATTTAAAAATTAATAGACACATCTTGTTCACTATTAAGTAATTGAATTTAATCACTAATAAACTTAGATTTTATTGGCTGTGTTTATCTATGCATCTTGACATCCCTAATATGTGAGATGAGTATTGGAGAGACAATTATGTTTTGTTCATATGTTTTTTATTATTGTTAATTGATGATGGGAGGAATCAATCATTGTATCACATGTTTATTCACTTATTTAACCCCTTAAGGACCAAACTTCTGGAATAAAAAGGAATCATGACATTTCACACGTCATGTGTCCTTAAGGGGTTAATGGTTATATGCAACTATAAATTGTGTATCTTGTATGTGCTTCAGTAGCCTGACAAAGACCCTAAGGGGTTGAAACGTTGCTGTGTAGTTCCTGGTTCCAATAAAATTGCCTACACTTTCGTTGGAGTGCCTGGATTATTTTCTACTATTATTCATTTCTCAAGATCAGTGTGACATACAATAAAAATGTAATTATATAGGAAAAGTATATTGTGTACTTACCAATAGTGTGTGTGAACCTCTCCTTGATCAGTGCTGACCACGGAAGTGAGTCGGACAGGTAACATGACGTGACGTAAAAAAAGTGGTGACGTAGCGTGTCATGGAGCCGTATAGTATGCAAAAGTGAGGGACGTAAAATAAGTGCACTGACAGTGCTATACAAGACATAGAGGATAGAAATTACACACAATCTGAGTAATAGTATGTTATAAGGCATCTAATATTAAAGACCAAGTACAATGGACTCCTTGACCAAAAAATTAACAAAATTGCTTGCTTATGGTATATATTTTGATATTCATAAATGCATTTCTCTATTTCTGTTATTCACCATATTTTTCTGTTTATAGCATGTCACATCATCATCTTCATTACCAATTACCACAATTTAATGTTTCGTGGTATGCTGTTTAAATGTCTTGTAATATCACACCTTCCATTCACTCAAGGATCTTGTTTAAAGGACTGCACTTCAGCTCTCCGCTTTGCCAGAGCAGCAACTATGCAGGGGCATGATGTGGCATGATGAAATCTCAATGTATCCTTCCTAGTAAAATATTTTCGGATTAAATAAATAAATATGTCAGAGGTATTTGAATACTATGGACTCTGGAAGATTGGTCAAAGTTCCCAATACTCAGATGTGTTTTATAAAAAAAAGACAATCAAATATACCTACAAATTGTAAATGATATAATTTGAATAACAGATTGAACAACGTTGAGATTGGTTCTTATTCATTTGAGTTACAGAGGGCTCAGCATCTTCTGCAAGAGAGTAAAAAGCCTAAAATGTCCCTTTACTCCGTTAGTGATAACTGTTAGACAAGCTTTTATCACTGTTTCCTCCCAGAATTGAGCTGTAAAAGGGTTTGACCCTGAACTGAGGGATGATGGTCACAGCCTACAAGCACCATAAACACTATGATGGATTTCATGGTTATATGCTTAGATTGCCACTTGATTGCATGAAGGCTCTTCTGAAACCTATATATAGATTGTAAAATCAGAAGTGAGCAGTCAAGGAGGCAGACATAGGTTACTCCTTCTTTGTATCTAGAATATCACAGGCAGTGGCATAACTACCATGGTCGCAGGGGCCGCAGTGGCAATGGACTCCGTCACTCCAGGGTACCTGGCTGCCATGTCGATCCCTGCAGTCGCGTTGGCCCAGGGCACGCAGTTGCCGGGTGACTGGCAGGAGGGGAGCTCACTGCACAGTGCTACCCCCACTGCCAGTCACGGAATGTAGCGTGACCGAGCAGAATGCGGTCTAACAGGAAGTGCTCACTGAGAGAGTACCACTATCAGATGTCAAAGGTAAGCTGGTACGGGAAAGAGATTGGGGAGAGACACATGGAGGGGTGAGGGGAAGGAATAAGACACATGGAGGGGCTGGGGAGATCAGATATATGAAGGGACTTGGAGAGTTAGTGGAATGAGACACATGAGGGGCTGGGGGGGATGAGGCATATGGAGGGGCTGCAGGGGAATGAGACACATGGAGGGGACCGAGGGGGAATGAGGAACATGGGGGGATGAGATACATGGAGGGGCTGAGGGGGATGGTGAATAAGACATATGGCGAAGCTGTGGGTATTAAACATATAGAGGGCCTGGGGGGGAATGAGATGCATGGAGGGGCTGTGGGGAGAATGAGACACATAGATGAGCTGGGGGGAGAATGAGAGACACAGAGGGGTTGGGGGTGAATGAGACACATGGATGGGCTGATGATGAGAATGAGACACATGTAGGGGCTGGGGGGAATGAGACATGCAATTTTTGCACCACTGGGCCCGGTGGTTTCTAGTTATGCCTCTGATCACAGGGATGAAAAAAGAGACAGCTGAAGAAAATATATCTGGTACATTTGAAAGCCTTTAAGGGACACTGTAGGCACCATAATTGTGTCATCTCATTGAAGTGGTTATAGCTTCTGGATTTCTCTGGCACTTTTCTTCTATTCAGTATTAAACCATGTTTATTATTGTAATGCTAAACAAAAGTCTCCAGCAACTATGCCTCTCTGTCCTAGGAGTAATTAAGAAGCATTAACCTGAGCAGCAAAGGAAGTTTGTGATTGGCTGAAAGTGTCAGATCACTACATATAGCCTATCACAGTATGCTTGCAGGCAGGCCCAGACTGGCATTCGATGGCCATGTGCCAAGCCCAGCAGGGGAGATCACAGGATCTCCTCTGTCAGCCCATGCAGGCCCACTCGCACTGACCTACGGCCGCTGGCGGTGGAGGGAGACAGGAGAGGACCCGGAGGAGCTCTATCTTGCAGGTCCGCAATGTTCCTTTCGCGAGGTCAGAGAGTTGCCATGGCAATGCTTTGAATCTCGCGAGAGTGAACTCTAGCCCAGCAGGCTAGAGTTCACTCACCACTAGGACCATCAGGAATAGCAGTGAGGTCTCCCATCCCAGGCTAAAGGTAAGAAGGGATGGCGGATACAATGCTTGTTTTTTTATGTTAATCTGCCTCTCCCCAACACATCCTCCAAATATATACACATACACACACAGCACCCTCACACACACACAGCACCCCCCCACACACACAGCACCCTTACCCACACACACAGCACCTCTCACACACAGCACCCCCCCACACTAACACAGCACCTTCACACACACACTGCACTCCTCACTCCCACACACTATACTTCCAAACATATATATATATATATATATTACACAACCCCTCACACACACACACTGCAGCCCTCTTACACACACACTGCACCCTTACACACACAGCACCCTCACTCAGAGCACCCTCACTCACACTCACAGCACCCTCACACATACACTGCACTTCTCACACACACACTGCACCCCTCACACACACACACTGCACTCCTCACTCACACACTATACTTCCAAACATATATATACTACACAACCCCTCACACACACACTGCACCCATAAGCACTGTTCCTGTATCACTGTGTAATTGTCTAATTTATTGTAAATTTCCCCCTTTCATAATATTGTAAAGCGCTATATAGATATCAATAATAATAATAAGCACATTACATTCCAGACACACACTAGTTCCTTTGCTCAACTCTGGATCATCTACACACATTAGATCCCTATATACTATCTGAATCCTCTACACGCACACACACATTCACTACCTCTCCTATACACACATCCTTCAAACACACACTAGACCCCTACACAAACACACACTTCACCACCTACACACACACTACATTCCTGACATACACACTCTGGATCCCATATGAACACACTAGATTCCTTGTAAGTAAACACATACTACATTCCCTAAACACACACTCTCTAAAACCCCTACACACACTATATCAGCTATACACACACACACACACACTACAGCCCATATGCACACTCTAGTTACATCTCCTATACATACACTCTCTACAGCAACCAGCCACACATACATTACAATACACCACAAACACAAAACAACTGAAACCAACCTATTTACACAATACCACACCACAATCAGCTCACTCTACACACACGCAATCCCACAAGCAGACTCCAAACACATGCAAAATACTATTTCCTGGCCCTTTTGTCTCCTGGTATCAAATTTATGGAGACACCAGAGACAAGTTGCAAGGAAACACAGTGCAAGCATGTTATTAATGTGCAGAACAAATACAGGGTCTATTTCTCATGCTAGAGCGCTTCAGCAGAGCTCTGCGCATGGTCTGCCCTGGAAGAGCATTGAACCAACATGCTCACTTTAACAGGGTGCATACTTGTCATTGGTGATGACAAAACACACCCTATATGGCCCGTCCCCCTTCTCAGTGGGCCGCAGTGATGAAAAAATGCCCGGGACGAATTTTGTCCCCAGTCCGGCCCTGCTTGCAGGTATGAATCGGTATTGCTTCCCAACATAACTTTATAACCAGTGGGAGCAGGGCTATAGCAAGCCAGAGATACCCTCATTCAGTATTAAACTGCTCGAAAGTGGTTTAAGGCTGAAAGAGCACAGAGAAAAGGAGGAATTAAACTATGTTTTCACCTATTCAGTTGTAATGCTTGCCCTGGCTTTGCCTTGTCAGAACTGCTTTATGATATAATTTGCTAAATCTTTCATTGAAATTTAAAAGAAAATAGGAAAAAACAGGCTGTCAGGTTAGAGGGGATTTTTAATATTAAACTCAATGGTGTAAAAGTGACAGTAAGTGGCTACAGACAGGTAGTGATATACTAATGTGTATATACCCATGTGTCTGCCTGGCCATCCTTTGCCTTCTAATGCTCATAGAAAGTTAGCTCAATCTGTGTTCTCATTGGCTGAGCTGTGTATGTACGCTGATAAGGAAGTCTTTTTTCTGGAATGGGAGGTGATTTTCTTTTTCTGCAAAAAGTACAGCTTATCAATGACAGTTGTGTCGGTGCACAGAATATCACCGCTGTTAACATAACTGATTTTATTATGATTTTATGATTTATTAATTGTATTTATTCATATTAACAGATCATTCTGCAACATCTGGCTAAAGTGTTTACAAGAAAATATGTTTCCTGAAACAACTTTGACTATGGACCATTTTGGCGCATTTCAGTTACCCTTTTATGTGTGGCTAATCATTGCTGTAGTGTGTTTTATCTTTCTTCTAAGTTGTCTAAGGTCCCTGTTTCAGTGTTACAAGTCAACTAATTACACAGGTACTAACGTAACAGCAGACCCTACCACCATTTCTGCTATCAATTCTCAGTTTAATACGGGATACCAATCAAATCGAGATAACAGACCTCATTTCGAAAGTCAGCATTTTCCAGGTTTTAGAGTCCCGCAGTTGGAACCCATTCGCTTAACTACAGCTCCTAACCAGGCGTATTTGCAGAACACAAACTTTACTATAGCTCAAACAACGCTCATACAAGATTTACCTCCAAGCTATGAAGACGTCATTAGACAGAAATGATGTTAACCTGGAATTAATTATCATGTGTATGAAGTATTTTCTTACATCTATTTTCCTCTAACTGTCAAACAGCTGATAGTTGTGATGCAATCTTTTTGTTCTTCATCCAACCTAGTCTAGGTCATTCAGAAAATTAATCTTGGACTGATTTGCACTAAAAGTCAGATGTTTGAAAGGCTTAATTGAGAAACAGCAAAACAAGTAAAGTTTTCAAAACGAAACCACAATAATGAGTCCATCAGAGACACTGGGCTGGTATTGTGTCTAGAGAACTTCATGACTGAACTGTTGTTTTTCTATTTATCTGATACAATTTAGTTGCATTTAGAATTGGTTTCAGGAGTATTTAGTGTAAAAGAGTATATGGTATCAGTGGGTTCCTCTGTGAGTGTGTCCAAGTCGCAGAGTGGAGAGAAGAGTTAAAAGAAGGAAGCATTGGCCTTCTATGCTGTGCTGAGACACAGACTCCTGGGAGGTACCATCTACTAAAAGGGTTATTGATCCTAAACTTAAGTCATCATTATGCCATGAAAAAGAGTTTACCCATCTTGTTCGTTGCATAGGATGGCAAAAAAAGTATTGTGGACTATTTAAAGCTTTATGATAAATCTTTATGAAATATTGGCATTTTACTGAAACTCATTAACATGCTTCCATACATAAATATGTTGTAACTGTGAATGTATGCAAATTTCCATTCCGTAGTGTAGTGACATTATGCAATCACATATTAGGTCAAAAATGGTTATGCGGGAAATAGGCAGGGCAACAAATTTAGGACAATAATTTCCCAACACTAAGGAAGCTATAAAAGCCAACAGAAGATAGAAAGAACCAGGCATTTGGAACTTAAAAGCCTACTGGGAATTCCAGAGTAACTCTGCGTTATTTATTTTGGTAAGTAAAAAGTTTATATTTTATACATATATAAATTATTCATATTAATTATTTTTGAAATATAATATTGTCTGGTATTGTAGTATATGAAAAATTTAAAGATTATATTTGTCAGATTATTTACCTGGGACATAAAATGATCTGGGATTTAAAAAAAGTATTTTGACAATTGCTAAGGACGGAGGCAATTGAACACGTTCTGTTCAAAACAAAGTTAAAACAAACCCTAGAATTTGAGCGATAGTCTGTTCAATCGTAATTCATCACTTATATAGGTTTGGGGAAACGTAATATAAATCATTTTGTTCAGGAGTAACAGGGCTTTCATTTCACTTCAAATATATAGATTGTAAACATAATTTTATATGAATAAAAGCTAAAAAAAAGTGTTAAAAGCAAGAAATGTTAATATCTTCTGTGTGGCATTTTTACTGTGAATGTCATAATACTGTTAGCTTTTACTGCAGTAAATTACACATATTTGTGTTGAGCAAAGTCTCACGAGTACAATAGTGCTCGTTTTATGGCATTTTGGAAAGTTTCCAATTTTTTAATTTTGCCATATTGATTATGTTGCTTTGAGACCTTATGGCAGCCCAGGAATGAAAATTACCCCATCATGGCATACCATGGCTTTACCCCATTATGGCATACCATGGCATTACCCCATCATGGCATACCATTTAAAAAAGTAGACAACTCAGGGTATTCAAAATAAGGTATGTTCGGCCTTTTTTAGTAGCCACTAAACTCTGGCGAAATTTAGCATTCATATTTGTTTTTGGCATTTTTTACACAAAAACAACACTTTCACTGATGATATAATTGTCGTGGTTCATTTCACTGCGTTAAAACACTCATATTTGTGTTCAGCAAAGTCTTCTGAGTAAAACAGCACCTCGCATGTACAGGTTTTAAGGTGTTTTGGAGAGAGACAGATGTAGAATTTCATTCTAAGTGTAGTTTGATACATATATATATATATATATATATATATATATATATATACTGAATATATCATTTTACATTTTTATTTAATATTTTTATTTATATGTAAGAAGATCCAATATTTTGCACTCCAACCTCCAAATAGGTCATGTGCCCAGTGCCCAGTAACACAGTAAATACCTTTCAGCAAAAATACCGGCAATCCTAAATTTACTATAGATTCATTCTTTAATTTCAAAAGAAATCCAAGTTAACGTTTCAGTTCCTGAACAGAACTTTCATCAGGACATCACATAAAACTCATCACATGGATAGAGACTTTATATAGGACACCGAACACCCGGAGATCCCTCCCCCGTCTGCAGCATGCCCTCCCTTCCAATCACAGAACCATCAGGTATCATCACGTTACGCCAACAACGCCTCTCAGCTATCAGCTACCCTGCTGATATGTTCTCTATTGCGTCTCCATGGCTACCAGGACAGGGAAGGGATCTCTGGGGGTTCTGCGCATGCGCCCGGGCGCCTTGGACACGCCGACCACTAAACATGAGCAGTTGTTGTGGTGAGTACTTATCTATATGTCCTATAGAACGCCAGTATCCATGTGATCCGTTTTATGTGATGTCCTGATTAAAATTTCCGTTCAACTGAAACATTGACTTGGATCTCTTTTGAAATTAAAGAATAAATCTATTGTAAATCCAGGAGTGCCGGACTTTTTGCTGAAAGAGATATATATATATATATATATATATATTATACACAAAATCCAGCACACTCACACCCAGATGGAAGATATTTTTCCCAAGTAAGTAGATTAATCTCATAAGAGTTGAAATTAGGTTGTTAGTGTAGGACCTGCCAAAGATTGGTCACATTGGCGTTGTGGCAGACTTATGCAATGTATGATCATATACTGTAACTAAACCCCCATTGTTTTAGCCCAGATTAGATGTTTTTTTTTAAAAAAAACTAAAAACAGGAATAAGATCTGTGAGCTTTGAAGTTGCTGTTTAGTGGGTGAGGGAGTGCGCTGGATCTTTTATATTGCATGAATTGGCCCCAGTAGTCCCCATTTATGCATGGTCAGGTGAGTGCAGCCAGGTAGATAAGTTACCCGGAGGTTCCAGGGCTGAAAGCCGTTGCGGCGTTCTATTCCATCGCAACAGCTTTAAAGCTGTAATGGTTTTATGAGATTAATATCCAACTGATTTTGTGAGACAGGAAATAATGTAAATAAGTGTTAATATTAAATAAATATTTACATAGCAATCTAAATTGAAAAAGAAAAAAGACTCAAGTCCATCAACTTCAACATTTTAAAGTTTTTACTCAAATTTTTCACTTTCATCTCAATAAATACATACACTCATCCATACAGGCAGGCAGGATGAATGACGGACACGCACACCCAGACACACATACACACACAGGTATATGTTGCTCAAAATGTGCCTTCTTCATTTACGGGTATTTCTACTGGGAATTCAATGCATCCATATCACCTTCCAAATATGGCCTATTTCTGTAATCCAACATATTTTTCTATTTATAGCATTTCACATCATCATATCATTACCAATTCACCACTATTTAATGTTTCGTGGTATGCTGTTTAAATGTCTTGTAATATCATACCTTCCCTTCACTCAAGGGTTTTGTATAAATAACTGCACTTCAGCTCTCCCCTTTACTGACTACACTTGCCAGAGCAGCAACAAGGCATTGGACCATTTAATAAATTGAGTGTAATTCAAAGAATATAATAATGTGGTATAATTAAAAGAACATCAAGGGGTGTGGTTTCTGAGCTGACACCTGCACACACAGGCTCACACATGCACACTTGCTAATTATGCTTACATTTACTCATGTGATAAAAGCGTTAAACTGGCATGCCGTACTAAACAGACTCTGGAAGCAGGAGCATGATGTGACTTTTCAGATTGTCACAAGTACAAATGTGCTCATCAGCATTGAAAGGGTTAATATTTTTTTTTTCAAAATTCTTTATTTTGGTTTTCGTACATTTACAACAAAGGTAACAGAAAAAGAAATACATAATTCTAAAAAACTGAGCCGGTATTCCCTCTCAATGACAGGGTAAAGATGTGCAATAGCAACGATGGTTGGATGGAAATAATGTAACAACATCCGAAAAATCAAATTCAAAGTCACCGCAGACGTGGTGATACTATGTGGTCCATTAGCAAGGGCTCCTTTAGGGTCTTTCAGCCTGACCCTGGAAACAGCCCAAGCGAGTACACGTAATTGGGACCTTTGTGAGCTATTAAGGTCAATTTGTTAGGTAAAGAGTTTACAAATTATAACGTTTACATTTAAACGAGTGAAGTGGAGAGAGGCAACAGGTAAGGGTAAAGTGCGTTGTTTCACTGTTGTTAGCTGAAATCGCTCCTGGGCCTGCGGAGCGTCACTAAAAAGCCGCTATCTTCACCGGAAGTCAGGTGCCGCCCCCAAAAGGGATTAATATAATGTTCACTTTGCCAAAAAAAAATTGTGCCAAATGTAATTGTTTCTCATTTCCAGTGTGTCTACGTGTAGCCAGAAGATACGTTTTTGGATTTTATTTTATACATATACAAAATTGTTACTTTAATATTGGGCTTTTATTTGTATTTTTTTCCTGAAGAAAACACGTTTTCTTTCAGTACTAAGTTGAAAAATTTTGCATAAAGGGAGAAAACTGATATTTTGAGATGAAAACTCAGTATTGTAACAATGTATATAAAAAAGCATTTAAAAGTAATCACGTGGGCTGTATAAAACTTTACATAAAATGTTTTACATCTCATATTTATGTTCAAAGAAATAAAGTTTTCAATTTGTTTCCATATGTCAGAGGTATTTGAATATTATGGATTTATTGAATGCAATGATTCTCTAAGACAAGTTGTGATGATACTGCGTATGTGTGCGAGATGTCACAGTTCGCACAGGGCTTGGAGGCATGAACTGAGCATTCTAATCAGTAAAATAAAATATTTTCAGGATGAATTTGAGGGAGGACTACTGTAGGCACCATAACAACTTAAATTTGTTATAGCGAGTTCAGTGTTCCTTTAAATAGTGCTTACCAAGTAAACGTCCATTAATTCCTAAAGTGCTGGAATGCATAGACGCAACAAGGAACC